GCCATCAGATGGCTAGATGGTATTACTCTTTTTTGCTATATATTGCCAAATTTATATTTGCAATTTCCAAATTCGATCGGCTCGATGAACTGGTGAGAGCGCACTTAGTACTGTATTAGTTGAATTTATCGATAGCAATAATGACTTAGTACCTCCAGTTATTGCATATTGCTAACTATAGTTGTTATTGATTAGTATGATTATAATTACTACTCATAAATACTACTTGCTAGTTCTACCACTAATAATATTACTAGTACATATTAATATTAACATTAAACAACAAAATATCATTGTTATGTTATCATTGTACTATCTCTGTCACTTACTATTACAATTAATTTTGTTACATTGAACATGAACAGATACAGAGAAGTCTCAATATTAATATGAAGAAAATATCTTTGTTACAACATATACATAGTCGATGTACTTATACTTACAGAACTTCCTTTGTTATTATACTATCATCGTTACTTTATTGTTCTCATTTTTTCTGTTGCTGTTTGTTGTTATTTCTTAATTGCTAGTATTAGTATTAGTGGCCTTTGTTATTATTATTATTATCTTTATCAACATATTAATATGTATATGGTGGAATTTGCTTTCATCATGGGGTATATACAGTTATATCTACATATCTCAATATGTACATTAGCTACTCTACTCTATAACAACCATGGATATAGATGTGGTATTTAACTGCACAACCTCTTGTTGTGTCTTAGATGTTAATACACACAATATTAATATATCTTTAGAGTGAGTTATCACAATTGAATAATGTGCCTTCCTGTTGTATGCTGTGTCAATCTTTGTTATACAAATAATCTCCTGATAGTAGAATTCTTGTAATAATAGTAATATACTCAAACATGATTGGCTTAATATTAAGAGAAAATTTTCATTATAAACAGATTTTTATTATAACATATAATCAAGCTTTGCTATAACCAGGTTTGACTGTATATGTATGTGTAATAGCACATTTAGTAAAGCGAATGAATATGAAATAAAAAGCTGAGTAAATTTGTAGAACTTTACAAAAGTGTTAAAATTAATACATTAATATTATAATAATCAGTCTGTAGTTGTTGAGCAGCTCACACAAAAAATGTTAGAAGCATTTGATTCTCAATCCCCAGAAGAACATAGCCTGTTTAGAGGATGTACCCAACTTACTCCAACTGGTTATGATAACATCTGTGATAGCTATGAGGGTGGATTAGGATTAGACCATTTACTACTATAGCGAATTTTATTAAGAAACCTGGTTATAATGCTTATAACGAAGATTTGTCAGAACAACATAATGTGCCACTAATTGACTATAACGAAGATCACGAGTTCGTTACAAACAGATAGATATTCATTATAAACGTTAGTGTAGCCGAATTTTATAATGGCACATGGTTTTCAAGAGAGTAATAGAAAGTCTTTCCTGTCCTTCGATCTTTAAGATAATGTCAGAAAATTTAAATACAAAAAAGCGAAATTTGAAACGGAATGCGTTAACAGGCGAACAGAAAAAGAAGTTATGTCTAAAAAAACAAGTGAACCCTAAAATTACCGGTATTGAATTAGCTCGTGGCTCTAACATAGGCGAAGGAACTGTGAGCGGTATTTTACGTGAAAAAGATAAATGGTTAAGTATTGATTCAGACATGCCTAAATTGAGTCTGAAAAAACAACGGCCTCCCGCGTGGCTCAACTCGAAGAATATTAATATGGATGGATCAAGCTATTCGCTATAATCGTGCTCTTTCTGGGCATGTTATAAAAGAAAAAGCCAAACGATTTGCAAATAAATAATTTTACTGCATCTTCCGAGTGGTTTAACGGATTTAAAAAAAGATATAATGTCAGAGAATACTTGAAGGTAATAGTGCACCTCTCGAAAATCTTCCCAAATTCAGTAGCCAATTACAAGATGTCATTAAAAATTATGAGTTGAGGAACGTATTTAACTGTGATGTGGATGAGACGGCACTTTTCTGGCTTTTAGAACCAAACAGGACATTATCCAAAGAAGTAGTTACTGGAACAAAAAAATCGAAAGAATGTGTGACGGTATTGCTTACTTGTAGTGCATTGGGTGAAAAAATTAAACCGACTTTTATTTATCACGAGAATCCACGAGCATTAATATTAATATTAAAGAATATTCAAAAGTCGACCCTGCTTATTTCTCTGATTTCAAGTCAATCAAAGCTGCATTGTATTGTGATACTCATTTGAAGTTGACACCAATTCTGTGAAACATGATCACCTGCAATTGCCATAATGATAATGACATGTCCTTGCAGATTATCCATTCCTTCCTTGATCTTGACTCTGTTGTCTGGCACTCCAGAATCATAGTACAGTATGTCTCTGGCCACTATATCCATGTATGTCTTGAGTTGTTTTGTGGCATCACCCATATAATCACCCACAGTTGTCACCACTGCTTTCCTCAGGTCCTTGGAATAATACATGTACTTTCTGGCAAGTAGATTCTGTTCATCTTCTTTATGAATCTTGCCTTTAAAATCTTCCAACTGCTTGTGGATATATTGCCTTTTCCAGGTTTCTGTCTCTCCATCCCATAGATCTAGCAAGGTAATGTATTTCAATCCCAGTAGCACACTACATGCACGTCTACCCACAGTTCCAGTATTTTGTGGAGGAATAAACATGTCAACAAAGCCATAATGACCAGCTCCTTGTTCTTTGGTTGCCATCAGCAGCAAGCCAAAGCTCTGGCATGCTTATCTAAAAAAAGTTCAACAATGTCCTGAAGCACAGTCTCACTTGCATCTTGCAATGCCCTCACTGTTCGGGTCTGCAAAAAGATCTCAATAAACTCATATTGACAAGGCCATCAAATGCTGGACCAATCAGATGCCTGATAGCTGATAATCCGTTCCGGGACCTAGATAAAGCCGGTGCATTGTTACAATGGATACTAAATTTTTAGGGGCAAGAAAAATACATTCCTCGGCCTACTCATTAATTTGCTGTTGTAGTATTAGATAATACTTTTAGCTTAATTCAAGCCTTATCTTGCGACCAGCACGTATCTTAA